CTATTACTAACGAAAAACGATTCTCAGCAAAGTTCGTTAATACTTGTTTTCAAATGTTCGATCATTTTAGTTTAGTCTAACAATTTTATCCGCAGAGCATCTACCAAATAAAAATTAAATAAAAAACTTAAAAAATTAAAACGACTATTAATAGCTCAAAAATGGCTTAAATGTTTTTTAAAACGTTACCACGTTTAGAAAAAGCAAATATTATATACCTAGACAAAAGTTTTCTCTCAAAATTTTAAGTCTCTATGCGTATTTTTTTAACTCAATTACAACAAAAAACAAAATTGAAAATAATTTAAACCATTATTTCCGTAAACTTTGTTGTTCTTTCAACGTTTTTTTTTGGTTTTACATAATTATTAAGTAAACCACACTGAAAATCAAAACACAACTTTTTCACTCAGCAACTAGATCCAAGATGCAACAAAAAAGTTCTCGTGTAGTTTTTTTATTGGAGCAATAATTTTGGTAAATATTTAACCTTTATATTTTTTTTTATCACGTATACAAATTTTAAATAATGAAATCGTAATGTCACGGTGCAGTGAATCTAAAAAATTCTAATAAATTAAAACAAACGAGTTTTTGTCAAATCATATATATTTTAGTAAAAAGTTAAAATTATGCGGATTCAAGTGTGTTCAATTGTCGAGTAAAATATTTGATTTCAGTTAATGCTAAATATGCATTAACTGCATATTTACTATAGTTATGTCTTATATAAATATATATATACTGCTGATGATGGATGTGTCACAGTTGTAGGTGGCACACAAAACAAATTCTAAAGTTTTAAATAACAATGCATATCTTTGACAATTGCTTAAATGTTTTGCGAATTTTACCATTTCTCGAAAGGAATAATACATTATGCATGCTGTGGAAATGTGAGGTCTCTAAAAAATTATTTTGAACTAAATGATAACGAAAAAATAACAAAAACCGTTACTGCTTATACACACAGCTGTGCGATATAATGGAATTAGCATCAATTATTATTGATGTCAAGCTAGTTATGTATAGGGACAAAGTATTCAATGGTTGGGCCGCATAATAAAAATAGGTAAATATGAAAAAATAAGGGTAGACATGGAGTGGAAACTTAGGTAAGAAGACCAAAGGAAAGACTTAGGGAAAGGTGGATTGATGTAGTATAAGAGAATTTGAAAAACCCGGGAATTTAAAATTGAATACAGACATTTCAAGATAGAAGGTATGTATTTCAGTCCTTCAGGACACGTTTATTATCAATTCCCATTTATATTCTACGTAAATTTATTACGTTTTTCACTAACCCGTCAAGTTTTTGAATCATTTATCTATGTGTTCACTCATCAGTTTTTGTTTATGTTTCTACGTCTATGTTTATCTATATTATTCTGATTATCATTACTATTAAAACAAATTTATATTATGTACCATCGTATTGATTGAGTGTGCTGTGTCATATATGGCAACCTATGATTTAGGCCCACTAGAATTTTTTTTATTAAATTTACTTCTTTCTCTTTATATAAAATTTAAAAAGGATTCGGTAAACTAGTGTATTATACTTTTGTGTAGAAATTTAAATTAATTAAACATTTTTATTTGTAAATAGTTGACAAGACATTTTTAAATTCCCTAAATTCTATTTATATTATAACTTTACCTATATTTGTAATATTGGCTAGTATGAATACTCATATTTAAATAAACAACGATAATAATATGACAAATTTATATTTAAATTCAGAATAATGTATAATTGCTCCTAGTCAATAACATCAACAACCGTAACTATTTACTGGTAACTACAGACGAACGGACACAACGGAGATATTAAGTGTCTAAACTCATGTTTAGAAACCTTAAACAAAATTATGTTTTAATAAGATTAGATTAGGGACAAATATAATACAAAAATACACAGAAAATAATACCTATACGATTATTTTATTGGAAAATGCGTTTTAAATTAAAATCATATTAAAACTATGTTTAGGTTAGGTAGTCAATGGCTATGATATCAATTGTGTTTTGTTTTTCTTAATAGGTACGGGTAACAATGAAATTACTATAATTTATTGGTTATAGCCTTATAAGTTTGTTATTCTTGTTTCCACAAATACACATTATTACTCATGTGAACTATATTTCCGGAACCATGGATATAGCATGTAATTGTTTTCGGCGTATCTATTGTTGATCTGAAAAGACAAAGATAGTAAAAAGTTGCTTTTGATTTTAGACAGACAAATACATAATATAGACATGTTATAGAAAATCGTCAGCCATTTTTTTTTAGAATAATATTCTCTTTTTAAATAAGATTTTATTAAAACGCGGGTTGCTGCAAAATGCTACCGGCATTTTCAGGCAATAAGAAAATACTATTTTAAATTGCATATTAATATTTTAAACGTCAATATAGTAATTATATTATTTTGTTGGCACGCTAAAATGTCCAAAGATTAGTGAATGTGAGGAGAATAATAATACGGCCATATTATAATGATAGAATATGTCTGCGTACGGTTATTTACTGGACAGAATTATTATGTATTTACGAGACATTTCACTGAAATATTATATCTTTAAAAGAAATCTTATTTAATATGTAACGTGTATATTACCGAAAAGAAAATATTATCGCAACTATTTGACTCTGTCGGAACTAGTTTTATACGGGGAAGGTTCAGGTAACTTTCCATTCTCGTGGAATTCAAACCTCGCATGGATCGTCTCGCACGAAAAATTTGTGTCAATATTATTATAATATAAAAATAATTGAATTCACGGTTTTTTTTATTTTTTAGCAAAGCCTTGTAAGTACGAGAAATAAAAGAAATGAACAATTGCAACAGAGGTGCGAATAAAATATATAAATAATAAATGCATTTAAATGGTATATATAGTGTTAACAACGCATCGTGGATTTAAAAAAAAAACCAACTCTACATGACATTACGTCATGAATAAGCAATTATTATACTAGGTAAATATGATGACAAGGTAAGCGCTACGCGGAAAATAATAATAAAAAATGAATGACCCTTTGGAGCTGAGGGTTTTTCTCCGCCGCTCTATTATTTAAAGCGGTCGACTAGCCGGCTGCACATCGTAATCGTCGCTGCAGTCTTTTATGAATAGTTTTTTTTTTTACAGTTAGAAATCACCCTCATCGCGTTACGTTATTTTAAAAAAATCACGACAATCGAAAACAACTTAAGTTGACGAAAGAAAACTTGAATGGGTATATGACGAATATATTATACTTTTTCTATAAATAGCCACGTAAGTCTTGTTTGTTTTGTCGAAGTAATTATTATTATTACTTTTTTTTTTTTAATATATTTTCATAACATACACCGTACTTGATGTTAGGCGGACAATAGATTGAATAGTAAATCTTGAAAAAAAAAATGCTTTGAGGCTTTTGAAGTATCTACGCATACAGTATTAAATATTAAAATATGAATGCGCATCGTATGTATTATATAACTGTGTGTGCGTGTGTGTGTATTTTAATATATTAACAGTAACGACGAATATTGTAATCAAAAAACTATTCAAAGCGGATCTAGGTAAACTGTTATATTATTAGTCACGTAACTTAGAATAACAAAAATAAAAACCTATACATGTCCATCAAGTTATTAAAATTTCTCAATTTTTAAAGAAGATAAACCTAAAAAATAATTAGGTAATGTCGTAAGGATACCTATCAAAAACATATTGTTATCCGTTCAATTTTTCCAAGTTGACTTAAACTTTGTAAAGACTCCTACGTCATTTAATAATATTATCTTTAATAAAATACAAACTAGGATCTCTATACTCCCTCAAAAAATACGACTTTTCTTTTATAGATGATGGGTGTGGGCCTCCCGTTGGCCTCAGAGGACTGCGGCTGATTTCACATTCGCGGTTAGGAAATTAATTTTGAATAAATACAATATCAAACTACAGATCTATACAGAATACATACATACATAACCTTATCTTGTAGCTATATCAAACCGGAAAAGGTAAAAAGGCATAAACGATATTTTGATAATTTTTCAGGAACACAAAAAACGCTTTAAAAATGTAACATTGGATGAATTTTATTGATTTTTAATTTAAATTTTGTATTTTTTATCTAAAATAAGTTCAAATAAAAAAAAGAACTGATACTGGAGATAGGAACAGTGACTGTTGTAGGTGAGAGGTTGAGAAGGTAGGATGCACAAGATTATTTCATTTATATATGTAAGAAACAATAAACCATTGCTTAACCAGACGATTCCAAGCGTAGTTGGTTAACACATAATTTGAAGTGCTATATTTTTTGAGATTTTCATTTAAATTGGATTTCAAAACGCTAATTAAAAAAAAAGTCTGTTGATTTTAGAAATTTCACTATGGCTAGGCAGGTCTAATATAAGTATTGTTACCAAGTTTCAAGTCTTTACATGTATTTATAAATGCATTACAGCAAAACATTTAAATTTCTTCAAAGCTCAAAAGTAACTCAAAAGTTTTGGCGATGATATCATAAGAAAGTAAATCAAAAAGGCAATAAAAAAGGTATCTTGTGATTTTTCAATTAAATCATTTCGTCAGTGTTTTTATAAAATAATAAAATTGTGAAATTATAAGTTTTCTTACGGTTTTTGCCCACTAAAGTGCTTTCATTTAAAAATGGCGTCAAAATCTAAAAATGACTTTTAGACCATCTATACAACTCGTTTATATTTGTTTGTAACCTCTTAATAAAAAAAAAAAACAAGTATTATAATTATCTTGATTTACATACATACTAAAAAAATTATTTCAATTATAATAATTTAAACATTGCAATGCATATTATAACACGGATAATTTAAGATAAACCTAGATATTATGTAACAAAACAGAAAAACATTTAATTTAAAACAACTGTATGAATTTGTTTAAATAACACTCTTAATATATAATATAAAATATAATAATAAAAGTTAAACAAGTTGGCCTACATTTCAGTCTTCTTATATAGGTCTGGCAACTGTAGTATTTACCATATCATCTGTGCTGATGAACACCATAGCATTCAACTCGGCTTCAGAATGATGAGGCGGCCATATTTTCTTACACCAAACTGATGAGGAGAATACAAGAACTGAACCATTCCTTATATCTGGATCTATATCAATGTGCAATGGCGCACTTGGTACTTTGGATTTAACCAATAAGTTTGTATAGTCTGAAACTCCCAACAAGAACAGCAGCCAAACATCTTAAATAAATAATGCAAGCTAGCATCAGACGTAGGGATGCTGAGTGAGGATAACTTAGCAGTGTGGACGTCGACAGCCAAGGAACTGGGAAAACATCGGTTGAAGAAGTGAATCGTATAAAAACATGCAAGAAATGCAAGAAATGCAAAAAAGATCCAGAATATGCACACAAATGAAGTGTTAAGAATAAAAAAAACAAAAACAAAAATTGATCTTAGTCTTACACTATTTTATTGACTAGTATAACTAAAACCTATATTCTATTTGGATTAAACATACAAATTTGCCAACATATTAATTGATGAATATAGATCAGGACATAGCCAAAATCACTGATAACACAAAGGTTGGATATAAATTCATATTTATTTGAAAATGTTAAGAACAAAAATATTTATACAATTTAGTTAACAAAACAAAGGTCTAAAGAAAAAAATTAATAGATTCGTTTCAAATAATCAATAGATTCCTACTACGTAATGTAAGTTAAAGGTTTTTCAGTGGGAAAAAAGTTTAAATTAATATAATTTGTTTATGATTTTTTTTTGTTTTTAGGAGAAGAAAAAATAGAATCAAGGGATTAGGTGTGGTTTTGACTGAACCGAACAGTTTAGTCATGCAGGGTATTACGGAACTTTTTCGGAGATGGTCCACCTAGGAAATATTACAAAAACAAGATAAAATAATTAATATACATTTTATAAAAATGATCATTAACAAAATTTGTTTACCTTCACCAGAGGAGTATTGAGATGAATGGCCGATAGAATGAGAAACATCAATATCGGATATTTTTCTTGATATAAAAGAAGAGGTGTGCAGATATGTAGGTGACTCACCACTTCTGGTGCAGTTAGAATATGAAGTTGATTGTGAAAGTGACTCTTTATCTACATGCAACATTCCACTGTAACGGAGAAAAAAATAATTTTCAGAGGTCTGGAATTATTTGCATTTAAAAATACAATCGACAAAAATTATGCAAAAATGCATATAAAAATTAGATAAATATGCAATTATATGCAATATACTAATTCATAAAAAATAATTAAAAAGAAAAACCTTTTTACACAAAGAACAGCACTATACTACTAAATAGTTTAACAGAAACAAAAAAAAATTACCCAAAACAATTAAAATAATTGAAATTGAAATTAACTTTTAATAAATTCTAAATGTAAAAAGAATGACATATTTCACACAATAGGCGGGTCACTGTTGTAAGAGAGAAGTAATTTAGGGGAAAATTTAGTATAAATCATGCAATAAACATGCAAATGTATATAATTGCATGCTCTATTTTAAATCAATTGAAATCAATTGAAATATGACTCAACTTAACAAGTAAAAACATACTTATTATGTGCAGTTTGATTTGACAAATTTAATGCCGAAGAACAACCAGTGTCTGTTGACGTAAGACCAGTAACCATCCCGTGATAAGAACAGCTAGGTCTAGGATTAAGGGCTACAACTGGTGCATCAATAGAGTTTATCTGCATTATAAATTATAATTTTATTAGTACATTATAAATATATTTAAACAGTTTTAATATTATAAATATACTTTATTTTTATCATCATTGTTGTGACTAGAAACATTAGACATCACTATGTGTGAATCAGGCCTGGGTGAATGATTTTTAAATGGTATTGGTGGCAGTGAGGTAGCTCTATTTGATGCATATTTGAGTTTATCAGATTTAGTTGATTGTGAAATAACTAGTTGCCCTGAAGGAGGTGAATTAATAACTAGTGCAGGTGAAGTTGCTCGGTATCCATTAATCCTACTACTATTATTATTATTGTCTTTACGGTGACTAGAAGCATTAGGCACAACTATACATGAATCAGGCCTGGGTGTTGGTGGTGGTGGTGGTGGTGGTGGTGGCATGGATGCTCGAAACTCATGATCCATTTTCAAAAAATTACTTGGAGGATAAACCTGATAATCTAGAAAAATAATTACAATAAATAACAAATACATAATTTATAAATCTACACTATACAATAAAAATAGGTATAAAGATAAAATTAACCAGATGAAAGTCTCGGACTAGTACAGTGTTGAAGTTGTAAATTTCCCAATTTATCATACACATTGTTTACGGGCATAGTGGTAGGAGGTGAATAATTCGCACTGACATTATTCTAATAATACAAAAATGTATAAATTATAATTAGTCTAATTATTATTATTTATTTTTTTTAAACCAATAATTACTCTAGCCATCATTTCATATTGCATTAAAAGATGGCCACCAGAATCGACATTTTGCAGTGGTGGAAACGGCAGGCTGTCGTGTTGCATTTGTAAATTTCCAAACTCATTATTATACATAGTACTAACAGGCATAGCAGTAGAAAATGAACGATTATCACAGACATTATTCTAAACATTAAATAAATATATAATAATTTGTCTACAATGTCATTAAATTAGGTAAAAGTAATTATTACTGTAGCTATCATTTGATGTAATGTTAATGGCTGGAAATCAGTTCCACCGAAATTTGATTCGGTTTTAGGAATAAGATGGTATGGCCTTAGTGAACTAACGTAACTTTTATCTGAACTCTCTGGGTTTATAACACCAGCGCTTTTCTTGATCAATGTCTATAAAATATTATAATTAAATAAAACATATTATAATTCATTAAATTACCTAATATTGAAATCTATAATGGTAAGTATTATCTACTTCAATAAAATCCTTGTTGGTCAATGATTCGTGTTCACCGCTATACTCTGTATATTTGAGCAATAATGGATCCATATCAGTACTAGCATATTGATACAATTTATCTGAGCTACTGAATACAATTAGACCGACTTCACAATTACACAACACACTTAGTTCGTACGCTTTTTTCATTAAACCAAATCTTCTCTTATTAAAGGTCACCTGTACATACAAACATGAATTACGTACTTGTATTTATATTGTATATAAATTAAAATATATTTTTTGAGTAGGTAAAATTAAAAATTTTTAATCGAACAAATCACAAAAAATGTACCAGTAATACTAAGACTGGTTCTTAAAAGTGTCAGTTAATGCTAACTAAATTTTTCAAATTGAGTGAATCAAATTTTAGAAAGGGATAACTGCCCCCTTGGATTCAACACTGAAAACTACTCAATGACACAGCCATTAAAATAATAGACAGATAGATGTATACCCCATGTACCTACAGGGCATCATAAAAATTATTTATAATTTATTGCAATTTTCTTTTAATTTGTTAATTTGAAATTGAATCTTAAAAAAATAAAAAATGTAATAAGTCGGCTGTATATTCAGAACGCTTATATTTAATTATATCCAGTAAAATTATAAAAACCGATCATTGACAATCGAGTGTTGATTTTTCATGCGCATATATTTCTGACAGTATTCGCAGAAGGTCACCGTGGCTGAATTTTGTCCAAAAAAGGGCACCGCCCGGGAAAAAAAGTTTGGGAACCGCTGATCTATACCGACTGGTGAGCACGTGTCACGAACTTGAAATATTTGGGAAAAAACCCGCACGTACAATTTGAATCGGCAAACACGTCTTTACAATATAATTCGTATGAAATCCGGTAAAAAGTGTTTTAATAAGAAATATCGAAAAATAGATCTCGCTGCTAATATCACGTGTTAGTTCGCACACGTGCGCGATCTCACATGTGGCTAAACGCTAATAACGTTCAATGGAAATAATTACTATGAATGAAATTAATCACACAACAGACCCGGAATATTATGTACGGTTTTTTTCGGTTATGATAATTTTGAACCCGATACAATTGCCACGATTCGAGAGGACGAGCAACTACATTCGGTTTTAATTTCACGTTCTCCGCAGAAAATTCCGATTTAAATTCGATTTGCGCGCACATATCAATAAAACGACGCCTATGAACCCATGCGGCGTATCCATCGAATTTTTTTTTCTCCACGTCCTCGCTTATAATAATATTGTACCACATCTCGGGCCTCGGTCCGTCAAACCGTTTATAGAGACAAATAACCGCGATTAATTGTTTACCCGGCAAGATTTTTCGTCCAGGATCCGCGTTATTTGTATTTTCTTTCGACCCATGGTTGTTCCGGGCCGGCTCTGCGCGTTCTTACGGAACGGTCTCGATACACGGTGTTGGGCCGAAAAAACGGACCGCGCCTCGCGGATGCCTTGAAACAACCCCGGCGTTAAAACTTTCCACTGTCCGGGATCCCCGAAACGATATTGTCAACCGAAAGAACGGAACGGACGGTGGCGCAAAAAAAAAAAAAATCGTCGTGAAATTACCCGCGCGAAATACGATATAAGCGGTGCCGGGACGCCGGGTAAACGCGGGCACGGACGGACGCACGGCGCGAGTTCGGAGTCGGTACAGAGGCGCGCGCGCGCGACAAAGACGGCCACACGCACCGGCAATACAATGGCGCCGGCGGAACGACCGGAACGCGCACGCGATAATGGGACTCGCGCGACAATGCGATAGCGGATTAGAAGACGGACGGGCATTCGTAACCGTCAGTTCGACGCGCTTATCGGGCAGAACGCCGTGGTATTCTCGTCCGGTTTCCGGGAGGGCCGCGATGGCACCGCGCTAACGGCCGACCGGCTATTTTCGTGCGGGAAAATTCTCGGACCGCGGGTCCCGGCGGCGATAAGACGTTGTTATTATTAGTCATTGCCGTTGGTTTCAGCAGCGCGTCGCCACGCGGACGCGACAACAATTACCGTCACACGGCGGCAGCCGAACTGCGCGCGACAGTTGCTATCGCGACGGCCGGCGATTCGCGGGACCCGTACTGCGGCTGGTACGACTGTCGGCTCTGTCGCGATAGATGCACTGTCCGCGTATACGTGCGTCGGACGCGTACAGTTTCGGTTGCCGGGCCCGAGCGTTCAGAGCGTTTAGACGCGCCAGGGCACACTTGAGTTCTGCCGCCCCTTACACGTGTAAACACCACACGTCAATTTTAAACGCCGCCGCTGAAATATGCCGCCCTAGGCGTGGGCCTGTGTCGCCTGCCCCATTTCTATCGCGGATAATTATAATGTTATTAAAATACGTAACTACCGCGACGTTAACACCCCCGTGGTGCGATCGACATTGTGTTTGTATTTTTTCACTATCACGAACAGCGGAAAGTACACGCCGAGTCGAACGTACAATAGTTTTTAAACCGCGTTTGCAACGTGGGTATTGACTCCGAACAATGGCCAACACTCGACTTGTGCGGATAATATTTCGTAATGATAATTTACGCATTGACGTTACATTATCATCCGACAATCAAAAGTACCCGTACGTCGCGGCTGCGCCGTCCACGTGTTGAAAACACCAGAGCTGCAATGCACCGCACCACCAAGGAACACGGGCGGAGGGGGTATGGTTTATATGGTTTGATGGCGTACATGTTATTGTTTATTATATTGTAGGCACGACGTACTCGGTGAAATAATGTTACATGTAAGGGTTCGGATGATCGTGAAATTGCGTATTTTTTCCCGTTTATCCAATCGCATGATACTATTTTTATTTTGCATATTTTAGGATTTTTAAAATATAAATGCATATCCCAGTACAATTTGGAACTTTAGAATTTAAATTAGAAATGGCGAAAGCAAAAAGTGTAAAATTTGAACAAATCAAAAACCAGTGCAACACGCTGTAACGTTTTTATTGTAAATATAATATTTAATATTAAAAAAAATAATAAATAAAAATAACTATTGACAGAAATTAAATAGGTACTTAAGGTTTTACTACTCGGTTTTCAATTGAAAAAAAGAACCGTTAGGTTTCACATGTTTAAATAAACGAAAAATAAAAAGGGTCATCCATAAAGGAAAAATAGTGTTACGTGTTGATTTTAAATAATCAACCTGGACAATTATCTTATTGTCTAGCGTTATATTTATAAATAGTGTGTTTATCTTGTAAGCAGCGTTTATTTTCAGACTATATTCTTTGAACGTTCATTATATTTAACGCTGTTTGTAAGTCTTCCTCGGATGTAATAACGACAATATCATCAGCAAAACGAAGCAATGTTACAAGTACTCCATCTATTTTGACACAGATTTCATTTCGATCTAACCTAAACTTTATTTCGTTTATTGATTTTTCAATAAATAAATTGAATAATGCAGGTGACAGTGGACACACTTGTCTTACACCTATTATACAATTTATAATGTTGTAATTTGTTCCAAACTAATGTTAGCCGCTGGATACGGGTACCTAGTACCTACCTAAATATGAAACAATTTGAATATAATATGTCATTGACATGGTGCATAGACTGTTTACGCGTACGAAATATTGTTCGCAAAACAATTTCACGTTTATTATGTCACAAAAACGCAGACTACGAAAACCCAAATCTATTATCATGGCATTGTATGCGAGATGGTGAGAATATTGATAACGTGGATGGGTGCTCATCACCCCGCGGCCTGTCAGCTGTTATACTATCTGTATTTAATGTGTATCCTAAAAACAGTTGTTCATTCCATATTTGATTGTTCGTTTTTCGTTTTGAAAATGTGTAGTGATTCCTGATTTCATAACCGTCTGTCGTCTGCTGTTATTACTGATAAGATTTTCTTAAAATGTTTCTGTTTAAATTTTAATCGACTATAAATCAGTATATTGTTCGTATCTAATCGAACCCGAAATATTTGGTGTCTTTAAATTTGAAGTATTGACAGTCGAAAAAGGCTAAACGGCGCTTAGTATAAAAAAAAAAAAATCACTCGTAAAAAAACAGAAACATGCTGTTTTTTTTAAACGGTTGTATGAAAATTCAAGACATGTTTAAATCTTCAACTTTAACAACTAACGGTGAATTGTTTTTTTATTTTACTATTTTATTCATTTAGTATAAGTATTAATTATATAGGTATTATATTTCAAAGCTAGTTACTCTTTTTTTTAACTCAATACAAGTTTGCTGTTTGAAATTTATTTGAATACTATTTATTTATAATAATCGGGTGCATGAAACAATTCAATAATAATACAATTAGAAAACGTAATAGCTTTTGGTTTGTCGTAGTGTATTCGAGTAACTTAAAATTAAAAAAAAAAACGTTTATGCAACTTAGTTAAAATGCCCTATAATACTAAATAGTTAATTTCCTACAAGTCGCAATGAATAACAGCGAATCAGTTTATAATAGTTGACCGTGTACTAATTATGTAGTGATGAACAAAAATGTTGCGAACAAACCTTGTTCTATTGGAACAACTAATGTTTTACCCAATACCGTTGATAGTTTACCAGACCATGTACCAGTTATTGAATGTGAATATTCAAATATTTATTATATGTATTTTTAGTTATTACTGTAATTTATTGGTGTTTTAAATAAAGTGCTTAGATATACAGTCACTTAGTATAATTAAAAATATATATTTTTATAACAACGATTTTCTTAAATATAATATAAAATTGTGTACAATAATTGTATTGTATGAATAATAGTAATAAGAATTAATCAATAATATCAATATACTGTTATGAATCAATTATAACAGTTGACTGCATACTTTTTGATTATTGTGTAGTGATGGAAAATAAATATTGTGGACAAATCTTGTTCTATGGAAACAATTACCCTTGACAGTTTATCAGAATACTCGCCAGCTATTGAAAGTTAATTCTAGTCTACTCTAAAGTTGATGTATTATTTAATTAGTATTATTCTGTTTTAATAGTTGACTTGGTTGACACCCGTCTCGATTTGTCAATTCTTAGCTAAACAAACGGCCAACTGATTCTGGGTATGAAAAGCTCGTGCGACTAGCTGGAAAACTCTGTATAGGTGTACCGTCCGTCTACCGTATAGGCTATTGCCGCGAAACAACGACATTTTCGACATTATTTTAATTGATTTTTCAACCAAATTGGACGGGAGGGGGAGGGGGGGTTGGACTGTTTGAATTTGTGCGTGTATCACGGCTCGAATCCCACAAACTGCAGCCATTTGATTCGGCTGTCGTTATTGAAAATTCAATCGCGACGTCGCGGTGCAGGTGGTCGTCGTTTTGCTACGCTCTCGTCGGCTGACAAATGGCAATCGTGAAATTCCATCGGTATCGCAGAGAAACGTGACATCGATAACAACAAAATAAATATTAAATAATAATGGATTTGGATTTATTTTGGGCTCTGCGGCGGAAATATCGCAACGTGCGGCGGTTCTATTCCAGGGTATTGCGTAAATTCCGCTCTCGCAGCTAGGGCCGGGTATATTTTAAGATAATGTTTCTCGATGTCGCGAAATTTCTGCAAGTGTAACGCCGGACTACATAGCGTTGTAATTTACAATGATAAAAATCGTTACGTCGGACCCCAGGCGTGAGAAATTTCAACGATTCCGAAGAATCCGAATAGAACAACATTCGTTACCGTCATGTTAACGAAGTATTGGGAATTATTATGGGTATTTCAATTTCGTTTGTAGCCTCATGGTAGGTACCTACCCGAAATATTATGGGTGGGGGGGGAGGAGAACAATTTTTTTTATGTTTATTAATACGATTTTTTTTACATGCATATAATACAGAATGTCCCACGAAGATGTATCTATTGCAATATCTCGGAAAGTACTTACTTTTTTCGGAATTGTTTTCTTTGGAAAACTTAAGAAACAAATACTTCAAAAATTCTACATTTTCAAACGGCAGTTTATATTGAAATTCCTTGAATAGATGGAGTATTAGTTAAAATGATTTCTGGTGTTGAGATTTTTGATTTCCGTCAAGCCGTTCACGAGATATTCCATTTTTAAGTTTAGGCGGGAGGAAGAGCCTGTAGTGGAGGACTATCCAAACCACACGTCAAAAGTTTCAACACCAAAAATTATGTTAACTAATACTCCATCCAGGTGTTTAAGGCATTTTCAATATGGGTTGCCGTTTGAAAATCAAAAGTAGGTAGCTGTTACAGCCCCGAAAATAAGTATGAAAAAAGACATTTAGCATCTTGGAACCATCTTTGTTTGGTAAGATTTTTTTCAAAAAAAAAATATTCAGAAAAAGTTAATATTTTCCGAGATTTTGCAATGGGTATATAATCTAA